AGGGGACAGAGAAAAGGGAGAGGGATTCATCATAGCTTTAACAGAAGGCAATCTTGGGGGAAAAAACCCTTTGAGACAGTTCTTTTTATTTAAAAGGACTGGCTAAAACATACTCTCTTTACTAGGAAGTGTCCTGCTCTAGAGTTTAATGGTTCACCCTGTATTCAAGAATAGGGTCCATATTCTTTCAGAATAATCAAGTTTTCTTCAAAGAAAAACATTTATTTGTCAGCATTGATTTCTCCACTAAGTAAAATGCCCTAAACATTCTAAAGCAATTCAATCTAATGTGCATAGACCTTAACTTTCCTTTTCCTAATCTGATACCACTACACCCTCCAGAAACTGCTCTGCTTTTGCTCATTGGTATCTTTGAATCTGTGTAGCGTTCCTCATCATTCTTTGCTAACACTTTCCTACCTCATGAACTTTTCTAATACATGGTAACTAATTTTTACTGCTCTTTCCAAAGATATTCAGTGCATTTTGGTGAAAAACTAATATTATCACAACCCCTTATTGCATGGCTAAATGAGCCATGAAGGTAACAAAAGTATCTTCCTTTTCTGTGAACCTCTGTATACAGAGCTCAAGCATGTGCTGGTTGTTTTTTAATATCCATATCCTTTTACAAGTATTTCTGATTTCTCTTACATATCTTTCATTATTACTGTTTCCCAAGTTCCTTTTTTCTATTACGTGTTTTAGAGTACTGTATTTCCTGATGACTTTTATTTTCTTCCCATATTTCTGATCTCTTTAGACTTTTTTATTTCTATATTTTCAGTGGAGTACATATGTCCTTACATATTTTCAACTGAGAACTAAATTGACATGCTTTTGCGTTTCTACTTTCATATCAATACTGATGGTGAAATAAAAACAATGTAACACAGATCAAGACGGAAGATATCATTCCTTTAGCCCACTGCACATCTACTGTGCAATATTTTACACCAATGTTCTCTCAGAAAATTTCCAGTCCACATAGAGAATTTTGTAACAAAGCCAACTCTTATTTAATAGCATTGAGACATAGTAGCACATATGTCATTAAAAGACAAATATATTACACAGTCTGTATTTCTTTAATTATTTTGCATTTCTGGCTGAAAATAAATTAAGTACACTGTAAAGATTTTATTTTCCAGAAAACTCACGTTGCTTGATGGTTCTCAAAAGCCATCCAATGTTTCTAAAGTCATCCTAGATTATAGAGCCTTCCTTTCCTCATTTTCAACAGTTATCACTTCAGTGAATCTTCAGCCACTACTGACTTATTTAGCTATTCCCTTGTCATCAATTCTTACATTTCTGTTTCCAGTAAGGAAGACAGGTTGCATTGCACCTATTGTGCTCATACACAAAGCTAATTCGCTTTTCAAACCTAATCACTCCTATATGATTTTTCTTTTTTCCGCTTAAGTTTCCAGAGCTCCTGTCATGGAATACTTCATAGGAGGACTTTTTACTATCAGTGCATTGCTGAATGTTTTAAAATATAGTTTAGTTATTTAATCATGGGTTTGTCACTGGACATTTTCAAAAATGTTATTCCCTATATAAGTGTTTCAAAGCAAGCTCATGGCTTCTGAACTTTTTTAAATCTACCTAGTAAGAGAACATTAATATTCCAAAACAAGTACTGGGGAGAAAGTTTTTGAGAAATATGTTGTCTGTGCTACCTTCTTCATTCAATGATTTATAGAAGAAAGGAAATGCAACTCTGCAGCATGGTGCCTTCCCTTAATTTCTCATTGTATTTGTGGCCACCATATTACCTTGGGGCAATAGCTGATAAAACTTTATCTGAAGATGAAGGAAAACATAGTGGTTAAAGAACACTGAACATCACAACTAAATACAAACTACAAGGCAGATGCAAACTGCAAAACTTTTGTTTGCTGATCACAACAATGTGAGACACTGTAGTTTCCTGCATTGCCTCTCCATGGCAGGGTAGCTGGAGATGAGAGGGAAGATGATCTGATTTCAGATCGTCATGGTCTCATGAAGGCAGGCCAAATATCTGTATGTGGTTTTCAAGGCCTTTAGTTCAAATATAGACAAAACTAAGCTACATAGAAAGGGCATTTCTCAATCCTTTGGTCTTTCACTTCATCTCTGTACAAGAAAAATTCATGTCAGAAGACAGACAAACTTGTAAGGGTATGTATTCTTAATTTTTCAGTACCACTTACAGATAGAAACTTTGCATTCCAAGAAAAGAATCAAATTTCCCTCTTAAAACAAAGAAAAATGCCAAAACAAAGTTATTTTATTTCATTCTGTTAGAGGTAATTCTTCCTGAATTAGTTAGATGCAAAGAAAATGCAAATACACATGCCTACAGGTTCACACATAAGGATTGGCAATAGGATTGGAATCGCAACTAAAACTAAATTCAATATAGATTGATGACAAAGTATATTAATGCATGACTCCAGGTCCAGCTGTTCACTCTTCCCCAGTCTTCTTGAATCTAAGAATGTGGCTAGAAGCACATAGAGTCCACTAACTGTCAGACATCAAGATAACAACTTTTACTAGAAGACTTTGAAACCAGATATCAAATTTAGAACAGGTATATTGTTTCATGTAACACATGAATGTCATTGAAAATGGGTTTAGGATGTGGGGTTTTGTTTGGTTTCCCATCATTTTGGAGGTAAACTTCTTACACACCTTTTCAAGACCTTCTTCCTTGAGGCTGATAACATCTAAATCAAAATCTGTCCTTAAGCCATTGGTTTTGTTGAAAGTTATCCTGCCTGTGAGGCCTTCCCAATGGGCCTATGGAGAAAGAAAAAACAGTTTCTATAAATAAATAGATCTTCCTTTTTTTGCCCAAAAAGAACAAATTTTACTTCTGCCAAAATGGGAACATTAATTATTCGTTTGATCTAAATAATTTACCTTGTGGCTGATTTTTTAAAAAATATTTTGTATTCACTTTTTGCTAATTAAATCAACCTTTCCTCAGTCTTCACAGACAATTTTTTAAACAACTTTCCATGTTAGCCAAAAGACTTTTCTTACTAAATGAGATAAAGGGCTGTTTTGTTTTCATTCCTCCATCATTCACGCACATATTTCCCCTTCTGCTTTCCTACATGCCCCACACACCCCCTCCTGCCCCTCAAGCCTCAATCTCTCTCTTTAATGTTGGATTTCATTTTTCTGTCAGGAATTTTCATTCAAATAGTTTTTCTTTTGCAAGATGCTGAAACCGCACTGAGATAGCAAAAATTGAGGTCACCGAGCCAGTCTTCCAGAGCTTATTCCTTACTTTTAATAAAGTGCAATATCCTCATTTTTTATAACTTAAAGTCTACCGAGTTGTAAAACTATACTAAAGTAGAGAGGGGAATGTGGAAAACGAAATTATCATCCTAAAAGGAACTAATATTAAAACCAGGATTATATTCCATTGCTAATAGTTCTCTTTATCATAGCATTTTGTACATCTAGAATAAGAAATACTGTATTAGGAGTTACTTACAGTAAAAGAGACTTGAATACTCTACAGTATTCACCTTTACGACCTTAAATCTCCTAGCTTTACTTTAAATCACTGTCTATCAGTAGCTAAACAGCATATGAAAACACATATACTAATTCACCATAGCAAAAAAAAAAAAAATAATTAAAACTAGCGAGTAAACTTCATCCTTGAATTTTGAACTTATGCCAATATTTAGTTGCTGAATTTTTCATAGTAAGTCTATGGTTTGGGTTTTTGCGTGAAAAATGTTCCAGCTCCTCCCCCCCAAGTTATCTAAAAAAAAAAAAAATTATTTAGAATGCAGTTATTTTATATTTTATATTTCTTTGTTCCAACTAATACCTTAGGAAAACCCACTTTCAAATTAAAATGTTGTCTTGCCTGTTAAACTCTTTACACATAACAATCCGAGAGATTCCCATCTACTGAAAAAAAAAAGGTAGAATTCAAGTAGAGGGGGAACAAAAGAAAATGGGAGTTGGGAGAAAGGAAAGTAATGAAGTAGGATACTTTATTAGTGACTTACCTCCTTAATGAGACTCATAAAGCGGGTCCCAAAGCGCCACGGTTTGTGGCGATTACACTGTAGTGAACTGACAGTCATTTGTGGGAACTGCTGGACAGCCACTGACACCACATGAACTGCATCATACATTAGTGCTGCATCCGTCTGAAATTAGAATGAAATTAGAACCGTGAACACAAAACAAAAACATGACAGCACAGAAGTGAGAGAAGGAAACAAAAAATTAGCGCTGTTTATTATGTTACAGTGACATAATGATCTGAGCTCTTTTGTAGTACTGTAAAATGCAGCCTTATTGCAAAGTCCTACATAAAACATGTCAGAACCTTCAGTCACAGCTTTTCTCCTTTTAAGGCTGAAATAAGGGCCCAAATACTGACTTTTCAGGATCACAGGAGAACACTGGTATCTCTGATTACTCGTGTTACTTTAAAAAAGCAGCGCATTAGGGGGCTATATAAATCACTATATGCATGTTTGATTCAAGTTAGTTATTTCCATGAGTAAGGCAAAGGAAAGGAATGTATTAGCAAGGTAGCAAAACCTTACGTATGAAGGAAAGTACACAGGCTAAGGAAATAATGTTTTTCTGTTTTGAAATTACAGACTAGATATAGTCCCAAAGGTACTCAACTAATTCATAAATAACTTGTATGGGCATCAGTTTAAATTCCTAGAACACTTCTAACCAGTATCTTCTATAAATCAGAGGCAAATTAGAATTGCACTAAAACGCACATTCATTTTAATGGTTTCCATGTCCCACCCTAAATAAATAGGCTGTTTAGACCTGCTATGTGCTAGCTAATGTTGTATTAGCAACAGACAGAGACAGCCTCTCAGTACACACTGTCATGCTGTACAAGAAACTGACATCTCTCTCCTGTTCTGTTTGATAAACAGAGGCAAGCCTTGGAACCAAAAGCAAGAGAGGACCTTAGATTCAGCTGGTGGAAATGAATGCTGTGCCATCTGCTCAGCATACCTTAGAGAAAAACGACCTATTTCCCCTTCTCATTCACATAATTAGTGAGCTGTGAAATTAGTTCTTTAATGGATAGGAAACCTGGAGATTATTGCACTTGTCACAATACAATACAACGCAATAGAAAATGAGCTTATATAGTGCCTTTCATGCAAATGCATCCCAAGGCTCTTTACAATAAAACTAAACATAAAAATGCAAAAATGCTCTACCATTATAGCCCATAAGCTACTGTTAAAGGGAAAATATACGTTTACATTTAAATGGCTCTCCCAAGGAGAGATTTCAAAATTCAAACAGAAATAAATCCTAATTTTAAAATAGCCAGTATAATAGGTTTCAATGATCTCAGACACCAAGTAGTTTATGCAGGGGCTCCAAATCAGTCCAAAAACATTTTTGCTGCCAAATTGTTCATTATCTTCAAGGCATTAAAGTGCTTTTAAGGCAAGCTGATATTTGACAAGGAGGCAGCAAAACACCAAAAAGTTGGAATGACATGCTGAGTAAGCGTCATACAAAGTTTAATATTCTAGAAGCAATACTTGGCAGCAGTTGGAGTCTAGACAACAGTTTTTTAAATAAACTATACAATAAGTGCAACAGATTTTTCTGGCTTAGAAATGCAAATTTTTTTTTTTTTTTTTATCAGCTTTATTTCTAAAACTGTAGTCCTTGCACCAATGAAGGAAAATGGAAATTGCTGTAAGACTTCAGTAAAAGCAGCCCATTAAGAAGCAACCAGAAGTTCAAAACCGGCATTAACTGATTAATTAGATATAAATTTGGACACGGAACTGATAAGACTCATCAGAAGGAATCTAACGGACATTATGCCAGATGCAGAGCAACATGGCTGTTTGTCAAATTCTATAAGCCACTGAGCTGGAAATCTGTAGAATCACAAGACAGTCAACTCCAGTGGAAGCATTAAAAAAGCAATTGCGGTTTTAGAAGTAGTTCAAATTCTGATAATATTCTTCATATTTGACTGATGAATATTGCTTTACTGGAAATAAATCTAAATCAGAATATACTTCTTTTAATTGCACACAAAATAAACTACTCACTGGCTAGAAGTTGAGTGCCCTGTTTGACTTTCAGATGCTACAAGATAAATCCCTTATTTACACAGGATGAGATTCCACAATCCACCTTGTGTAGGAAGATTAAAGTTAAATGTAGGCTTACACGTTTGTACTGCATAAAGACAGATAGAACCATATACTCAAAAATACATTGGTTTAGTGATTCAATATTGCAGTCATCTCATGGGGTACAATCATTGATTTAGCTGCAAGAGAAACAGACAACACAGAACTCGGAAAAAGATATAAAGTATATACTTGAATTTGCAGGTTAGGCACTCCTCTTGGTTGGTCACTTTATCTTTCCTCTGAATTGACAGCTGTTGGCCTAGCTCTGCATCCTCGTTCATTAGGCTTTCTAAACTTTATGTCTCTCTGCCCTTTGTCCATACCACTTTCTCTTCCTTAAATCACACTTTTGGAACTATGGTTTGTGGTACAGGATGTACTGCAGATTTCAGGAAGAGTCTGTTTGGGGACCAGGATGGAAATGTCCCTAATTAAATTTTTAGAATTCTTTATTTTATCTAAACAGAGATTAGCAGTCTGGAAGGAAGAAGTAGAAACTTCTGGAGAAGTAATGGTTCTTTAATTTCAGTTAGAAATCTGTTATAATGTTTCCATTTACACATAATACAAGAAAAGAATCTTTTAGAAAAATGAGATTACTATTGTTTTAGTCAACTTGTATAAACCTTTTAAGAATTATGTTGTATTTCACAAATATATCTTGGTACAGTTTCCAAACTGTGGGTTGTGGGGTTTTTTTTTGTTTGAAAATCCTGCTTAGTATTTATGATTATTTGATTGGATACAGATAAACCCATCTAAAATACTGCTTATGGTACTGTTATTTGTAATTCTACAACTACAAAAGAAAAAAAAAATCTACAACTACAGAAGCTAAAAAAATTTTTCATCAAATTTAAATAGGATGAGATTAAGTTAGGTGATTAAGATGTCAGATGACAGATGTCTGAGACCACAAGTCTGTTTTTCAGTTGACCCTGTCAAGTAACAACAAAGCTTTTAGCACTAGAGGTAACATCTTAATCAGAGATGTGACTTCAGTCACAATATATCTCAAATAGAGAGAAAGTACCAATATGTGTTTGATTTTTATCCTGAACTCAGTTGGATACTACACATTTCTTCTCAATACTGTTCTGGCATTCCTTTACCTCCTGTCACTGTGGGTGTTGTGTTTGCCTCTATTTTTCACGTGTGTTTCTGTATAATCACTTTTGAGTCTTGCTAAATACTGTCTAATAAATTGCATACAAGTACTCTAATCTCAATATGAAAGGACTCTGGTGGAGCTAGATTCAGTATAAAGAAGGTAGAAAAAGAGTCCTTTATTATTAAAAACAGAATCTGTTATTTCTCCTGGGGCCTTCTCAGAGGTGGTCTTTTTCTTTTCTGTCCCCAAGTGCACCCAAAGATGTCAAAGGCATGACAGGCTCTAGTAGATACATGTGATTTTTGTCACATGCTTCATTGTCATGGTTAATCAATACTGTAGGGATGGTTTGAGTTTTGGGGGCTTGGAACTGGGGCAGGAGGTTGGCAAGGTTGTGTTTTTTACTGGTTTCTAACCTACATGGGCAAAGCTGTTGCGGAGGAAACCCACTATAGCTTGGGCCTCAGCCAAGAAAAAACCTTCCCTGTGTAATGGAACTGACAAACTGCTTCTCTGATGAGTTTTTCTGTCCTTCTAACATGCAAAAGATATGATTTTTAGTTACCTTCAGCATGGCTGGAAGGTTAGACAAGAATCAGCTGAAAATCCTGAAACTAAATGCACTGTTTATGCACTACAGCTGCAACCTGAGATCTAGGTCTGTATCTTATGACCTATCAAAAAAGTGGAAGAAAGGGCTCACATTCTGACATCTAGATAAGGTCTAAGCAAGCCTAACAGAACAGAGGAATCATGGTCTTCGTAACCATCTTCAGACTTAAGGTACATTAGAGATCATTGATGTCCTTTGATATCTGACTCAACTAACGTGCTAACTGCTTTTGGAATACCTGTGCCTAATTAACAGTTAAGTGTTAAAAACAATTGCAGATTCCACAATTAATGACATTGAATCGTGACTTGCATGTGCACTTTATTTGCACAGCAATGTTTTTGTATGGCATTTGCATTTACCTCCATCAAACTATATGAGGATTTCATGTACCTATAAACCATTCCTCTCTGGTTCATATCTCGAGCTCCAGAATTCTCTCTAAATTGCAAAAATATGTGTTTTATTTTTAGAAAACATGATTTTTATCTTGCAATCAAGGTTAACAGTAATTTAAGATGAAGGATTGCTAGGCTAATTCTGTTTCTTCATGAACTATATCAGAAATAGTACCCTTCTAAAACAGAAAAATAAATCATATTTCAACTTGTACTATAACAAATTGTAGTCCTCTGTAATCTACAATTAAAAAAAAAAAAAAAGGAACTGTTATGTAGGCACAATCTGTAGGACATTTCAATTACTCAAATACAGATGATTAAAACCAGCTTGAAAGCATGAAAAAACCCTCAGGTTTTCAATTAAATGTTAAATTAAAGTAATGTGATTGTTTTTCCCCTTAATTAAATTTATTACTAATAAAAGTCTGTGAAGAAATATTGTCTTCTACTTAAAAGGTGCTCTGTGAAGTACTTGAAAACACCAAGAAATTTTTTACATTGAGTGACATATGAAATAAGTCAATGGAAAAGAGAAGCTTAATAAATTTACTTCTAGTTCTTTAGTATTTGATCCAGTGTGGATCCCAGAGAAGAAGAAGTTATTTCCAATATTAGTTTATTTTCCCTAGATTGGAAGATTCTTATATTTACAAATCTGTGACTCACAAGAACTCATAATAGCCCTCTTTGCCAATTTTTTCAGTGGCTGTGGGGAACTTTTTCCGCAGAAAAGGAGTCAAAGATGAGAGCCAAGCAAGAGTTTAAAAAAAAAAGAAAAAAAGTTTAGTTAGCTAACTAAATTATCCCACTCACAATATAAGGATTATCTGTATAGGGACTAGACTGCTTAACCATTTGCAAAACACTTTTATGGTAA